AAGAGAGAGAGAGAGAGAGAGAGAGAGAGAGAGAGAGAGAGAGAGAGAAAAAAAAAGAAAACATAGAAACCAAAAAGAAAACAATAAACAACGAACACATCAAAAACAAACGAACTGAAGCCGGGAATGCGAGATGGAGATGACTGGGGGGGAGGAGCAGAGGGAGCAGGGAGATCAGCGAGAGAGGGCCAGAGTGGGTTGAGTGGGGCTGGATCAGGAGAGTGATGGAGATGGACGAATGATGGTAATACTGTACATGCCGACGCTGTGGGAGAGAGGCGAGGCTGAGGCAGGCGTTGGGCGCAGACGGGGAGGGAAGGGGAAGGAGGCGGGGGGAGCCATGCTCTGTTGATCTTGGCAGGTGTATCACTTGCATGCTGTGTCATGCCAACAGACAACATACCACATGCTACCCAGCGCGTTGCCATCAGCACAAGCAATTTCACACTTTATCACTGCACGAAGTGGAGTATCCTCAGAACCTCTAGGGTCCTCAGTGCTGAGCTTTTTGAAGGGGGGCAGAGGCCCAGAGTGGCGGATTACGTATCCCAAGAGGGCCTCGAGAGCCTATCCCTTCAAGATAGCTCACAATCCCCCCAACATGCCCCCAAGAGCTCCCCAGAAGCGCTCAAGAGGCCCCCAAGAGGCCTCCAAAAAGCCTCCCAGACGCCCCGAAGAGGCGCCAAAGGGGCCCCCTCAAATGCATCCCAGAGGCATCCCAGGAGACTCCAAAATCCATCCAAGAGGCCTCTGGCCCACGACCCAGGCACGGTGGAGGGTATGGGCAGAAAACCCCTAGACCTGCTTGGCACGGGGACGTCTGGCTTGTCCGTTCTTCCTCCTTTTACGACCTTTCTTCCCCTCGCCCTTGTCGCATCCTTGGGAGTCTTGGGTCCCTCTTGGGCCCTCTTGTAAGACTCTCGCATTGTTTGCGGGCCCTCTTGAGATAATTTAAGACGATGTTGACAACATCCTTTTAAACATGCGATGCTGGAAACGGATCATTTGTTGAAAACTGTCCGTAGCGGAATCGCATTTTTTTGCTATCGCGAGGGCTATCTTGGATTGTTTGGACCCTGCGCTGTCCGAATGTCGTGTTCTCCCTGTTTGGACAGCCCGCTTTCGAGAACCACGTGTCTTCCCCGTTTGGACCGCCGGCTAATTATCCGAATGCATAGCGCCCCGCAGTTGCGGATAAGAGTGAGGGGGCGGCGGGGACGTCGGCAGTCTGCGAGGCTCTGAAGAAACCCGCCGCAAGCGCAGAATTTTCAAGCTATAGAACGAGCCCGCCGCAAGCGGCGTTTGTTTGGTTGAAAACAAAAGGTGGTGGGTCACGGTTTGGGTCGCAAGTGGGTAGCGGGTGGGTCGACAGTGGGTCGCGGGTGGGTCGCGGGCCGGGTCGCGGGTGGGTCGCGTGTGGGTCGCGGGTGGGTCACGGGTGGGTCGCGGGAGGGTCCCGAGCGGCGGGTCGCCGGGTGGGTCGCGGGTGGGTCGCGGGTGGGTCGCGGGGTGGGTCGCGGGGTGGGTCGCGGGTTGGGTCGCGGGTGGGTCGCGGGTGGGTCGCGGGGGGGGACGACGCAACAAAACAAGCAGAATCCTCGCCGTGGATCCCCACTTCAGCCACGCACCCAGGGACAGTGAATGACTCTTCGGCCCTCACTCTGATTGTTAGAGTCTGGGGCGGATCGCTGGTGGGACGCGGGAAGTGCTCGCGAGGGCGATGCCCCCCGCAACAATGCAAGCCAGCCCGCCGCAGGTGCAGCACGTTGAAGAATGAAAGCGTTGGGGTCGCGGGCGCTCTCCTAAACCGATGCAAAGCAGCCCGCCGCAGACGCCGAATCTCACATTTTGTCTACGAATTTCGCATTTTGTATACTGAGTGGGTCGCGGGGTGGGTCGCGGGTGGGTCGCGGGGTGGGTCGCGGGGTGGGTCGCGGGTGGGCCGCGGGTTGGTCGCGGGGTGGGTCGCGGGGTGTCGCGGGTTGGGTCGCGGGTGGGTTGCGGGTGGGTCGCGAGTTGGGTCGCGGGTTGGGTCGCGGGTGGGTCGCAGGGTGGGTCGCGGGGTGGGTCGCGGGGTGGGTCGCGGGGTGGATCGCGGGTTGGGTCGCGGGTGGGTCGCGGGTGGGACGACGACAACAAACAACAACCACGCAACAAGCAAACTCCTCACCACGGATCCCCACTTCCGCCACGCACCCAGGGACAATGAATGATCGTTCGGCCCCCTCACTCTGATAATCGCCTGCTGTCCGAATATCGCGTTTTCCCAACTTGGACCGTCCATCTGTGCTCGGAGCTGTCATAGAAAGGGTATGCAGAAACCACGTGTTTTGACTGATTGGATCGCGCGCTCTTCAGAACAATGCATTTCCCCATTTGGACCGTCCGCTGTCCGACTGTAATGTTTTCCCGTTTGGGCCACCCGCTTTCCAAAACCATGCGTTTTCCCGTTCGGACCAGAAACTCTCGGACCGTCTTTGGGCCCTCTTGATCCGTCTTGGGGCCCTTTTGGGCGTCTCTTGGGACGACCTCGGCGGCCTCTTGAGCCATCTTGGCCTGTCGGAAGCTTGAAGCAGCTAGAACTTTCAAAAGCCGAGGAAAGGAATCGCTGAGTTGTGCCCCATTGAGGCAATCTTGGGGATCCTCTTGGAGCCCTCTTGGGACTTCTTGGAGCTTCGTGGGCCGCCTGGAGGGCTTCTTGGGCCATATTTGGGTCCTCTCGGTCCGTCTTGTTGGCCTCTGTTGGACCGTGTGCAGGCCTTCCATGGGCGATACCAAGACGATGTCCACATCATATTATTTGTTGAAGATGTCCCTAGCGGAATCGCAATTTGGGACAAGACCGAGACCACGACGATTTCGACAACATCTCGTTTGTGTGAGGATGTCCCTAGCGAAATCGACATCTGGGGCAAGACCGAGACCAAGGCGACGTCGACAACCATTTGTATGAGGATGTTCCTAGCGAGATCGCCATCTGGGGCAAGACCGAAACAAAGACGACGTCTGGGGCAAGAACGGGACCAAAACGTCGTTGACAACATCTCATTTGTGTAAGGATGTTCCTAGCGAAATCGCCATCTGGGGCAAATCCGGGACCAAGACGACGTCGACAACATCTCATTCGTGTAAGGATGTCTCTAGCGAAAAGAGCGATGTCGACACCATGAAATTGTTGTGAAGATGTCCCTAGCGAGATGACAATTGCGTGGGCGGAAGTAGGTCGCCTTAGAGCCATCCTGTTGCGTCATGCTGGGCCGTCTTGGGGCCTTCAGAAAGCGATCCCAAGACATCTCAATGCTTTGAGGATGTCCCGAACGAAATCGCCATTTTGGCTATTGGACCTAGGTCGGCACTGAACTGGCCTGAGATGGCTCATGACACCCGTCGCTCCTGGGAGCCCGCGCGGCCCGGGACAAGGTGTCGGAAACCCGCAGAGTGTTCCGTCTTGTCCCTCGAGATGTTGTGCAACACAATGGTTTGTTGATATTTTCCTGAAGGCGCCGTCCTGGGAGGCTCGCTTCGGCGGTGCGGCCAGAGCCCCACCGATTGTATGTATGCAATGTTACATCTGCTTTGAAGCGATTTGCAGGGACACACGGGGATAACGCTGGGTTTCCCAAACAAGTCCAAACTACAAGGAGCTTTGGTGTTAAGAGCTTTTTCCTTCATCGCTCTCTGTTGGGAGCCCTGGTGTTCAGATATTTTTACGTTGCCGCTCGCTCTGGGGAGCCGTGGTATTCAGAGCTTTTTACGTCACACGCTCTGGGGAGCTGTGGTGTACAGAGCTTGTTATGTCACCGCTCGCTGTTGGGAAACATGGTGTTACTTGGCGTCTCTGGGGCTGCCTGGGGTCTTTTCGGGGCCCCCTGGGTGCCTTTTTGGCCCGTCTTGAGGCCCTCTTGGGCCGTCTTGGGGAGTCTGGAGGCCTGTGGCCGCCTTGGGACTCTCTTGGGGGCCTCTGGGGGCCCTCTTGGGAACCTCTTTGGGCCCTCTTGGGGCCGTCTTGGGGCCCTCTTGGGCCGTCTTGGGGCCCTCTGGGGGCCCTCTTGGACCGTTGTCGGGCCATTTGGGGGGCCTCGTGGGCCGTCTGGGGACGATCTTTGGAGCCTCTTGGGCCATTCTGGGCCCGAAAAAACGAGAACCCCTAAAAGTATCAAAAACCATTGAACAATCAATGATTGCTGCCTCTGTGGGCTCTCTTGGGAAGCCTCTTGGAAGCCTCTTCGGGCGTCCCGGGGCCCCCTTGGGCCGTCTTGGAGGCCTTCGGCCGTCTTGGAGCTTTCCTTGGGGCCTCTTGGGGCCTCTTGGGGCCCTCTTGGGAGCCTCTTCGAGCCCTCTTGGGGCTCTCTTGGGGCAGTCCTGGTGCCCTCTGGAGCCTTTTTTGGGCCAGACTTCGGCCCAACATTTGGCCGCATGGGCGTTGCTAAAAGAAGAGGGCAGCGTTGATTCGCCGTAGACGTCTTCGATCACTACAGTGCTATGCTAAGCTATGCAGCTCTATGCTAGGGGCAAATGGTGTACAAGGCCACTTGCAATGCCATGAAGTGCTAGACTGTTTAGTGCGATGCTATTTCATGATATGCTATGCAATGCAGTGCTATGCCATGCAATGCAATGATCTGCAATTGAATGTCATGCTATGCCATGCTGCGATATGGTTCGCCGTTCCATTCAACGCGATGCTGTCGTGCCATGATATGCTAAGTGGTGCTACGCTATAATTTGGGTTGGTATTATATCCAATTCTTGCGGTGCAGTGCAGAGCACTGCATTGCACATCGTCTCCTTGGAGTGCACCTGCACATGCACAGGTGACTTCCAGGGAACAACTCCCCAAGTATCTTGAAGCCGCTCTGGGCACGTTTTGGTCTGGGGCCCCGTTTGCGCAGGGCCAGCTCCTGTCCTCTCAGGCCGCGAGCACGGGCCTCTGTTTGCCAGGGCCGCCAGACTCGCCCACCTTGGGCGCTGGCCCGTCAAGCGCGGGCGCGGAGCGCGCGTCACCCTTCCTCCAGCTCCGGCCACAGGGTCGTGGACGGGTTGGTCGCCAAGTCCTGCAGCACCGTCTCCACCATCCACCCCAGGTGCTTGTCTCCGGGAGCCGACCACCGCACCTTGAGCTGCAGGACCCACTCGTGGTCGCCGACCTGGTCCGCCATGATCCACAGGGGGTAGTGGACGGTCCGCTTGTCCCAGTTCCACTCGCCGTGCACGGGGGGCCACGTGGTGTCGTTCTCCCACGCGGGCGGCGAGTCCGAACAGACGCCCTTGCGACCGAGGTCACCCATTCGAGGGCGCATGTTCATGAACACGCGACCACCGTCGTCGGCCGCCGCGCAGGGGACGCGCCACCTGCGGTGTCGAACGGCCGCGGCGACGGCTAGCGCGACCTCGTCCACTGTCGCGCCTGGCAGGAACTCAAAGTCGAGGTCTCGGCCGTCGGCAAAATCCGCCACCATCGTGCCCTCGTCTGGCCCGTCACGCATGGACGCCGTGAGCCGCAGCCGCAGCGGCTGCCCTCTCCGCTGGCGCGCCAGCGCGCAGGCCACCACGGCCACCAGCGCGACATCCACCGTGCAGCACCAGCGGCGCAGCTCCACGACCCGCCCCAGCGTGCGCAGGCTCGGCTCTCGCAGCCACACGAAGTGGTCGAACGCCTCGTGCGACTCGCCCGGCAGGCTGTAGCTGGCGACATCCACCGCGTCGCCGCCGCGCTCGCCGAGCAGCGCGCGCAGCAGCCGCGCCTCCTGCGCCCGCAAGGCGCTCCTGGGCGGCGGCGCGGGCAACTCCGCGGCACGGCCGGCCGCGAGGCCCCGCTCTGCCGCGTAGAGGTGCTGGAAGTCCTGCAGCAGCGCCAGCCCCGAGAAGCCGTCGCAGAGGCCGTGGTTCGCAGCCAAGAACAGGCGGGCGGCCGGGGCTCCGCCGCGGGCACGGCCGCGCAGACGTAGCAGCACCGCGTGCAGCGGGCCCCGCATGAACTTGGGCGCGTTGCGCCCATCCAGAAGCCAGGCGGCACGCCGCTCCAGCTGCTCCTCGTCCTCACAGTCGTGCACCTCCAGCGGCGCGTCGGCCTCCCCGGGGGCGCACGCCGCCACCCGCGGCCAGGCATCGTAGAGTGCGCGGCCGACCGCGCCGAGCGCACGGCGCAGTGCGGAGTCAAGGCGGCCTCCGCGCCCAGCGTGCCCGCAGGAACTTGCGCCCGAGAGCAGCAGCTCCCGGGACAGCGACAGATTCGCGGCCGCCTCCACGGCCAGGTCGCACAGCAAGGGGCAGTCCACGAGGCCGGCGCGCAGCGCCTCGTGGCGCCCGCCCAGTAGGCGCAGAGCCCGCCGCAGAGCTGCCTCGTCCACTGGCTGCGTCGCGCTGAGGGACCAGCACACAGAGAGCCGGAACATGTACCGCCACTCGCGCACGCGGAAGCATCCGTCGGCGGCGGCCTCCGCCTCCCCCGCGAACGGCGCCTTCGCCGGCGCCTCGACCTCCTGCGGGGCCGCCACGGCCGGCAGCACGAGCAGGTCCCCCACCGAGTCGCAGGCGAGGGCGTCGCGCAGCGTCAGCAGCACGGCCGCTTCCCGGCGCGCAGTGCCCACGAGGACCATCAGCCGCAGAGAGTCGAAGACGGACGCCAGCGGCGCGGACAGGTCCAGGCTCCGGCCCGCCTCTTTCTCCAGCACCGCGAGCAGGCGCCTAGCGGCCGGCGGCAGCGACTCCGGCGAGGCCGCGGCGCCGCTGGCCGAGGGGGCCTGGCCGTCGGCGGAGGGCTCGCAGTCCACCCAGATCTTGTCCAGCCCAGGCCTGCGGCGCGACCTGGCGTGGCCCCGCGGCTGGTCCCAGTCGCGCTCCTGCCGCTTCGTGCCGCGGCCGCCCGCGCCGCCAAGCGCCGCGGCGCCCTCCGCGGCCGCGGCGAGCAGGCGGCGCGCGCCGCGCGGCGTGAGGTACCAGGAGTAGTGCCTCGCCTCGTACTGGAGCTGCCCGTCGAGGCCGCTCAGCCCGAGCCACCACAGCACCGGCAGGGCGCGAGCCCTGCGCCCTCCTGCGACCCAGGCGCCCGCGGCGGCCATGGCGAAGAGCGCCCGCTGCGGCAGGAGCGCGCCCGCGGCCAGGAAGAGCAGCCAGGGCAGCTGCTCGGGCAACTGCTGCCCAATCCCTCGCGGCCGCAGCCCGCCGCGCCCGCCACCGAGCAGCTCCGTGTACGCCGTCCACACGTACGGCAGCAGCGCAGCCCGCCACACGCTCCCTCGGCTGGCCAGCGCGCCCAGGAGGGCGGCCCGGAGGAGCTGGCAGGCCTTGGCGCGGAGCGCCGCGGCCCGCGGCGGTGCGGGAGCCGCGGCCAGGACCCTGGCAGCCGCTGCGCGCTCGCGGGGCCCTGGCGCAAAGGGCAGCGGCAGTGCACGGCGGTCGAGCTTGCCAGTGCTCGCGCGGGGCCAGTCGGCGACGCCGACCAGTGACTCTGGCACCGCATGCTGGGGCAGCCGCGCCCGGCAGGCTGTGAGCAGCGCGGCGCCGCTCTCGCCTCTCGCCAGCTCCGGCGGGCGCACGTAGCCCACGAGCGCCTTCGAGCCGACTGCCGCGCCAGCCTGCGCGAGCGCGACGGCCTCCACGGGACGCCCGAGGATGAGCTCGCCTTGCTGTCGCAGCGCCGCCTATGGAGGGGTCGCAAGGGCCGCGTGGGTCGCAAGGGACCGCAGAGGTCACGAAGGCCACAAGGGCTTCACAACTGCTCGCAAGGATCACGAGATGCACCCAGGGTCACAGTGGAACCGCCATCACGCGGCGTGCCCTGCCAAATGGGGTCGCGAAGGGCAGGGTCGCAAGGGTCACACAGTCAGAAGGGCGCCATGGGCCATAGGTTTCAGGGGTCGCATGGGACACCATGGAATACAAAGGCTACAGGGGGCCACATGAGTCGCAAGGAATACCTTCTAAGACGACTGGAGTCACAATGGAAGCACTGGCTCCTCGGGTCACACGGGACGCAGGGGCCACAATGAGCCACTCGGGCCACTGAGGGCCACGATGGTCACAAGGAGTGCACGGGCCAACGGGTTCCACAAGGTGTCGCACCGGTCACACGGGCCACATGGGTCACAGCGGCACAGCGTCACATCGCCACGAGGGCCACGAGAGGTCACATCGGTCACGAGGGTCACATGGGTCAAAAAGGCACCTTGTCTAAGACTATTGCCATGTGAGATTGTACATGGGCATGTATTCACAAATCGCAGGGTCACAAGGGCGGTGAGCACAAGCCGAACGGGTGGCGCCTCCACCTCCGCCAGCTCGATCCGGTGCCCGCGTATCTTCACCTGGCGATCCAGGCGCCCCAGGCAGGCGAGCTGGCCCGAGCCGCCCAGCCAGCGCCCGAGGTCGCCGGTCCGCAGCGCCCAGCCGGCACCCAGCGCGCTGTCCTGCAGCGGCCCCTCCGCGCCCACGGGAGGCCCGTCCGGGCGAGCCGTGGACGACCGCGCGCCGCCAGAGCCGCCCGCGAGCATCAGACCCGGGCCAGCCACCAAGATCTCGCCGGGGCCGCCTCCCTCGCCGCACGGACCAGCGGCGGCCGCGTCCCCGAGCCACAGGTGGCGGTGCCTCGCAGGGCGCCCGGCGGGCACCGTGGCCGACCTCGGCAGCGGCCGTGCGACCGTGTAGACGGTGGTGGTGTCTGCTGCCTCCGTCTGCCCGTAGTGGTTCCGGATCAGCGGTGCGCTTGCGCGGCCCAGCAGCAGGCGGCAGAGGTCCGTGGGCAGCGGCTCTCCTGTCAGCACGAGGTGCCGGCAAGCGGGGCCCAACGGATCTGCGCCGGCCCGGAGCATGGCCTCCAGCACAGACGGCACGAACTGCACGAGCGATGCGCCGGCCTCGCGCGCGAACCTGGCGAGCGCCTCCAGGTCCTTGGCGGCGCCGGGCCCGCCCTGTGGCACTGCCAGGGCTGCCCCGCACACGAGCGGCGCCCACACCTCTGGCATAGACGCCACCCAGTTGAGCCCAGTGTGCTGCAGGCCGACGTCTGTGGGGCGGACGCCGTACTCTGGGATGAAGTGCATAAGGTGGGTGAGCACCGCCTGATGCGATGCCCTCACGGCCTTGGGCTCCCCAGTCGATCCCGAGGTGAAGAGCGTGTACATCGGCCGCGAGCGGCAGGCCAGCCCGACCGCGTCGAGACTACGGTGGGGCCCGCCAGCGGTGCCCGTCGTGACACCGTCGACGAGCGTGAGAGTCGCGTTCACGCCGAGTGAGCTGGCGAGCTCCAGCAGCACCTCCTCGCAGAGCACGGCTCCGATGCTGGCCAGCTCTGCCATGCGCTGCAGCTGCACCACCGGTGCTGTCGGAAGCATGGGGCAGTAGGCGGCCCCCGCGCACAGGGCGGAGGCCAGGCCCACGACGGCCCAGACCGAGCGGTGCGCGAGTACCCCGACGCACGGCGGGGCCCCGGCCGCCTCCGCCAGCGGGCCGTGGAGCCTGGCCGCGTTGGCGCGCGCGGCCGCCAGTAGGCCGCGGTAGGTGATCCTCGTGCCGTCGGCCCCCGAGAGCGCGGTGGAGAATGGGCTTCGGTGGGCCTGCTGCACCACCAACCCCCACACCCCGACCTCCGGCAGCGGCCCGCAGGCGCCCACGCCCAGCCGCTGCAGCAAATCCCGCCGCTCGGCCGGGGGCGCCAGCAGCGCCGGCAGGGGGGCCGACGGGCCCAGGCGCCCCACAGCGGCGAGCAGCGCCTCCAACCGGCGCGCGAGCCGCAGAGCGGAGCCCTCGTCGAGGACGGCTGCGTCGTAGCCGATCAGGCCGCTCGCGCCATCGGCGGGGTCGGCACCGACCACCGAGAGGGAGACCTCCGCGCACGGCTCTGGGCAGGTTGCCCAGGCGGCCTCCGCCGCGGCCTGCCCGCCGGCCGCCCGTCGCGAGAAGAGCGCCCGCGGGCTCCAGGGCGGAAGCTGGAGCGCGCGCTCGACGGCGGCGCGGGGCGCGTAGCCAAACCCGCGGGCGCCCTGCAGCTGCTGTCTGAGGCTGCTGGCGGCCGCCTCGAGACCCCCAGCGTCCTCGAGGTCCGCCCTCACCGGGAACCAGCGCTCCGTGGCCGGTGCCTCCGAGGTGGCGGCGCGCCCTGCAGGGCCGAGCGGCACCCCGATCCACACGGTGCGCTGCCCAGCCTGCTGCCCCAGCAGCGCAGCCCAGGCTGCCAGGAGCAGCCCGTCGTCCGCCGCGGAGCTCGGCACCGCCCAGGCGACCGCCCGCCGCAGGGGCGCCGCGCCCCTTCGACGAGGGGCGTCCAGTTCCAGCTCCAGGGCCGAGCCGCCATCGCCGGCCTCGCCGGCGGCAGCGGCGGGCAGCCGCGAGAGCCAGTAGCCGCTGAGCCGCGAGAGCTCCGCCAGAGGGCGGCCGCCGGCCCAGGGCAGCAGGGGCAGCGTGCGGAGCGCCTGCCCGATGGTGCCCGCGCCCTCTGCGGCGGGGCGGGCGAGCAGCTCCAGCGTGGCGTCCAGGGTGGCCAGGAGCCACGAGCCCTCGCCGCCGGGCGCGCCGGGGCAGCGGGTCGGAAGCGCGCCCCTGAGGCTGACCACCAACGCCCCCGCGGGCGGGCTGCCCGGCGGCCCGGGCGGCGCGCGCGCGAGCCGCAGCTCGGCGGCCCGCGGCGCGGGGCCGGCAGCAGGGACCTCCCATTCGCCGAGGAGCTCGCAGGAGGCCCTCCGCAGCAGCTCTGCGGGCAGCGGCGGGTGGTTCTCCAGGATGACGGCCGAGTCGTAGAGGGCCCTGTCGGGCGGCACGCCCGCCCAGCTCCGGATCTCCGGCAGCGAGCAGTGCTGGAATTCCAAGGCGTCGAGCAAGCCCAGGTGCGCCCTGGCCACCAGGCCCTCCAGCGGCTCCGCAGGGTCCGCCACGCGGAGCCGGAGTGGCACGAGCGCCAGGGTCGTGCCCACCAGCGCCTCGCCAGCCACCTCGCGCCCCGACAGCACGGTGCCCAGTGCGACGTCCTCTCGGCCAGCGAACTGCGCCCACACGAGCGCCCACGCGGCGTGCAGCAGGGCTGCGGTGGTCACCTTGAGCGACGAGGCCCTGCCCTGCAGCAGCCCCCAGGAGGTCCGCAGCGTCAGCGGCCCGTGCTCCTCTCCCTGCGCCCCCGCGGGCTGCTGGGCCGCAGGGGCGTCGAAGCCAGAGAGGGCCCGCCTCCAGTGCTCCGACAGCGCGCGGGCGTCCCGCCTCGCGTAGTGCGCCGCGACCTCCGTGAAGGGCGGCCGCGGCGGCAGCGCGGCGCCGTCCGCGTACAGCGCGAGGATGTCGGCCAGCAGCAGGCCGCAGGACCAGGCGTCGCAGACCGCGTTGTGGACGCTGAGGAGGAGGGCGAAGCGGCCGTCCGGCAGCGGCATCAGCCGGCACCGGAGCAGCGGCGCGCTCCTCATGCAGAAGCCCAGGGCGGCGTCCTCCCCCAGCGCCTGGCCGAGGCCGCCCTCGAGGTCCGCCAGCTCGCCCGCGAGCGCCACTGGCACCGGCGGCGCGCAGCCGCGGCGCAGGGCCAGCTGCCAGTAGCGCCCCCGGACCCTGGCGAAGGCGGAGCGCAGGGCGGGGTGACGCGCCTGTTGAAGCAAGACATGAAGCAACACTCCCCCCCTCCCCCCGCAATTCAAAGTTGGCACGTTTACGCATCGCTGGTCCGACGCCCAAACTCGAAAGATCCGCACTCAACGTACCTTGCATTCGGGGGGAGGGGGGGGGGAGTTCAGACCATATGCTGTGCGTGAGTGCTGCTTACTGTTTCCGACACCTGTTGGACCACCTCCACCGCTGGGCCCAGCAATGAAAGCCTCGAGTGGTGGCCATCCGTCGAACGGCAAGCCGACCACCGCAGGAGCATTTCCACCAGGTTCCGGCGGTGGTGAAGAATCGTGAACAGTTGGGACCAGGGCCCCTGGGGCCCCCGCTTTCTGCTGCATCTTCTTCGAGCCCGATCGATCTGTGATGGCCCTGGGGCTCGAAACTGGATTCGAAAACGCCCGTTGTGACACACTTGCAACGCTCAGATCTGGCGGGCTCCGGAAACCCTGAGCCCAGAGATGTTGCCATCCCTCGGGAAGTCGACTTTTGCTTCCGCCAACTTCCGCCTGCCGTCGACCGCCAGCTTCCGCCAGCGGAGCCGCCGCCGTTTTAGTTCCGCCGCCTTCCCTCGCCTTCAACCGAGGAAGAGATGGCAACTCCTTCCCAAAGATGCGATGTCGTGTCTTTTCCATGCGGGTCCCGGGAAGTCTCGACCGACTCCTCAGGACTGGTTTTTCATCCCGAATCGTTTGCGGACGGTCTCAGGGCCCGGCGACGGCCCCCATAGAGGCCGAAAACTGCAAGAGCACATCCTCCGTCCAGATTTTTTCAATGCGTTGGATCTCTCGGTTCGATCCTCGAAGGCGAGGCCGTTCTTCCAGAGAGCCCAGAATCGAATCAAGAAGTTGGATCTGCAATCGAGATGAGTCGGATCCGCGGAAATCGGCAGCCGAGCCGGGAAAATTCGAATCGGCGGACATGTGCAGGCTAGCGGGCCTCCATGGAGAAATCGGAACCCCAATCGGCATCCCAAACCGAACCGAATCGGCATCGGAAGCCATCTCGACATCGAAGCGGATCGCATCGGGGGAATCGCAATGAGCCCTGCTTCTTGGAACGCCCCGGATGTGGAGGAGCCACTTCGTGCCGCGCCTGCGCCGCCGCCCACGCCGAGCGCAGCCGCCCGGGCAGGTCCGGAGCTGGCCCCAGCACGGCCACCGTCTGCAGCAGCCCCGCCGCGGCGGCCCCGCCACCGCCCTCGGCCTCCAGCGCGGCCAGGAAGAGCTCCTGCGCACAAAGCCGGAAATATGGTCAAGATGTTAGCCATGGGCCCCAAACAGCAGGTTCTTACAGTCTACGCGGTGCAACATATGTAATGCAATCTACGCGGTGCAGCCTATGTGGTGCAATTCACTTTGACTGTCTTGAAGCTGCCCTCTCCACTGCTCGTGCAAACATCCCACCCTCCCACCTGCAACTTGGTCGCAAGACCTCTTAAGACCGTGACGATGGGTACCAAATGGCACTTGGCAACGACACCGACGCCGACGAAGACAGCGACAAAGACGACGACGACGCCGACTACGACGACACCGACGACGACTCCGACGACTTCGACGACGACGACGACAACGACGACGACGTCGACGACACCGACGACGACGCCGACGCTCAGGACGACGACGATGACGAGGCCGACGACGACGACGACGCCGACGACGACGACAACGACGACGACGCCGACGACGACGACGAAGACGACGACGACGACGTCGCCAACGAAGACGACGAGGGAGGAGGGAGGACGACGACGGCGACAACGACGAAAACGACGAGGGAGGAGGGAGAACGGCGACGACGCGGGCAACGAAGAAGGAGGGAGGACGGCGACGCCGACGACGACAACGACGAGGGAGGAGGGAAGACGACGACGACGACGACGGGGACGAAATAGGAGTGGCGACGACGACGACGACGACAACGAGGAAAGAAGGAGGACGACGACGGCGACGACGACGACGACGACGACGACGAGGGAGGAGGGAGGACGGCGACGACGACGACGACGACGACGACGCAAGAGCGCGCGCGCACGCTTTTGTTGAATATCCGCATTGCGAAACTTTTTTTTTGGACACTGGATTTGAAATCATTCCGAAACCGAAAGTGTTTGAAATATTTCGGCACGCGCGCGCGACGACGCGCGCGCGTGCACTTCGTCCCGTTTTTTGCAGAGGATTCTCGCGACGGCACCTGCGCAAGGGCGTTCGAACGATTTCGACACGCGCGCGCGAAGCCCGTTTGGTAGTATGTTCTGAACACGTTGACGACAAACAACTATAGATTTTTCAAGATTTCGCAAGAACGCGCGCGTAAACTTTCTAAGAAAATTACTGTTGCGAAACCCGGTGTTCTTATGTTTGTTTGGAAACTCGATTTTGAAATCCTTCCGAAACCGGAAGTTTTTGATGGATTTCGGCATGCGCGCGCGACGACGCGCGCGCGTGCACTTCGTCCCGTTTTTTGCAAGGGATTTTCCGAAACTTGTGATTTGTGATAAGCGAGTGCGCGCGCATAGTATTTTGTTGCAGAGGATGGGGGGGCGATACGGCCCCCCTGGGATAGTGTAGCTTCATATTTAGGATGGACGATGGGGCAGTATCATACGTAAATTGCAATACGAAAAAGGGGGATCGTTAAGTCCAGGGGGAGGGTGGGAGAAACCATGAGTTGACACATCCCACTCTCTTGCAAATATCCCACCCGCCCACCCGCAACATGGTTCGCAAAACCCATGCGGTGGCGATTGCGACGCATGCTTGGCGTTGGCTGGTGCATCTGTGCGGCCGCGCCAACCCTAGCACGCGCGCGCAGCGGCCAGCTAGTTTGGCGCCACCGACGCGGGGGCGGTGGCGCTGACGGTCGGGCACATCCCAGCGGGCACTTCACTGCGAGTCGGCGGCTTGGGCGGGCGCGGTATCATGGCAATGCCGGCTACGGTAGATGCGATGATGATACTGGCGATGCTGGTGACGATGTTCGCACCGACGCAGGCGCGGCCAGTGCGGGCGCCGATGCTGATCACGGCGTCGGCGATGACGGCGTCCTCGCGTCGGGAAAGAATTCGACATTCGCGCGCGGCAGACGCGCGAGATTGGCCCGCATGGTTTTATTACACACAGATTATGCCCCCCAGCACGCGCGCAAGGGCGTGCAAATGATGCCGGCATGCGGCGCCAGAAGCCCGTTTGGCAGAATTCCATGGCAATAACATGTTAAAAAATGCGCAAGAGCCCGAGCGCACGCTTCTTGGAGAACTGATGTTGCGAAACCAATCGTTGTACGTGTTTTTAACACTCGGGTTGGAAATCGTTACAACACCGACGGTTTTTGACGGATTTCGGCATGCGCGCGCGACGGCGCGCGCGCGCGCGTGCACTTCGTCCCGTTTTTTGCAAGGGATTCTCGCGACGGCACGCGCGCGGCTCTGCCGTTCCCGATGACGTTCTCGCCCCAGCGCGGGCCATTCTTCTGATCCGAATGCTTCCTCGTCGGTGTCGCTCCCTTCCCCTGGTCCTCCTGCTCCTTCCCCTGGTCCTCCTGCTCCTTGCGCTCCTCCTTATCCTGCTGCTGCAATTCCTCCTCCTCTTCCTCAGTCCTCATCCTTGTTCTCTTCCTGCTGCTCATCCTCGTGCTCATCTGCCACCTTCTCCTCCTCCTCCTCCTCGTCCTCCTCCTCCTCCTCCTCTTCCTCCTCCCCGTCCTCCTCCTTCATCATCCTTCTCCTCTTCCTGCTGCTCATCCTCCTGCTCATCTGCCTCCTCCTCCTCCTCCTCCTCTTCCTCCTCCTCCGCCCCCAATGTACACAGCTCCCCTTTTCAGATTGCGCGACGTACGCTGGGGTCCTTTTGGGTGTTCCAGGTCCGCAACGCCACCCGTCGGCGGATATATATATATATATATATATATATATAGAAGTGAGCGCGATGGGAAGACATGGGATGTCAGAAGTGGCGCGAACGCACCTAGCTTGATATGAATAGTGCTCTCCCTTCCCCCATGGCTCTGTCGGGGAGATGCTCCGCCCTCTCCGCGTACGTATTGCTTTCATGCACGATGTCATCATTCAATATGCCTTTTTTGTCCGTAGGGGCGCTCTCGGTGTTCCAACATGGTGTTCCCGCTGCAACGTGGGCCGCATTTTTGGATCGGCGCTTCGGTTCCGTCGTTCCCAATGACGCTCTTGCCCCAGCGCGGGTTACTTCTATGAGTCTTTTATGGGACCGAGTCCTCCATCACCGTTGTCGCCTCTCTCCTTCCTTCCCCCTTGTCGGCCTTCCATTGGTCCTCCTGCTCTTCCCGCTCCGTCCACTCCGGCTCCTGCTGCTGCTGCTGTTCGTCGTCCTCCCCTTCCTCCTCCTCATTCCTCCTCCTCCTCCTCGTCATCATCCTCCTGCTTCCTCCCTTCCTCCTGCTCCTCCTCCTGCTCATCCGCCACCTCCCTCTGCAATTTTCGCAGCTCCCCTCATCCGATTGCACATTCACCGATGGGGTCCCTTCTGGAGTTCCAGGTCCGCTATGACACGCGCGGGTGAACAGAGAAATAATCAACGCAATGGAAAGGGATGGGCGGGACGGGGTAAGATGTCGGATTTGGCGCGAGCGCGCCCAGCTTGCCTCCACCCCTCTCCCTTCCCACATTCCTCCTCTCGGCGCCCGTGTGGTCGCTGTCGCCCAGGCTGCAGCAGGAGCCTCTTCCTGACTCCGTTGCGCTCCCCCCTCTCTGCGCGGGTGCCCGTTGGCCAGGCGCTCCCGACCTCGCGGGCGGCGCTTG